ATGAGATTTCTTTGTCCGCGCCGGTAAATTTTATATCGCAATACTAATAAAATCCTCCCGCTATTGACTCGGCTAGAATCGATTCACCGCATTAAATCGAAATTGCGTTACGATTTATATATAATATATTCTAATATTAAATAAGTTTGCACAGTAAGTCCTACATGAACCTTTACGCCACAGTTTACCTTCATATCACGATTTTTATATTTGACGACGGAACCATTTTGACTCGTGAATTTGCTGATACAAACTCATGCACTCCCTATGTTTTCTGATAACAACAGTTTCGATATTAAATATTGTTACTTGACAAATACCTGGAATTAGGCCGAAACGTCGTAAATAAATTATTACTGAAACTTTGCCAGTCTGATCGACTACAAGCTTTGCATTTTTGTCTTATTTTACCACTGGTGACAATAAGAGCACTCAAACTCGTTACAGTAAGCCTGATTTTGTAATATTTTTTTAATATTATTTAAATGCTCTCCTGTAGAAAAGAATATTTTGTGTAAATATACACAACAGACTATTCCTTAGCTATAAGCAATATTGCAGAAGCCGTGTATAAAAAATTATCCGCATCGTGCAACTTTACTCTACATAATATATTGTGTTCGAATATTGAAAAGATCATTGCGAAAATAAATGGAAAAGGAGAAAGAGGCTGACCGTACCGATAATGGGAAACGATCCTTATTGGAGTAGCGGTAAAAAGGAGCCATTGCAATCCTTGGCGATACTGAAAAAGCACATGATGTACCGTTCGATATATCGCGTGGAGTTCAAGGTCGGCTCGAATTCCACGGCACGTCGATTAGATTGCAAATCGAATATGCTTACCTTTGAATAGAAGTTGTATGCGAAGGTGCTGAAGAATCGAGAAAAGTTTCAGTGGAGTGCGCGAACGTGCTCTGCCAGCTGACTGACTATCGTGTCTTCAACGATAATTCGATGTCGACTTTGAGTCTCCTTGAACACGAAAGCGGCTTTATGAAGGACACGTCGAGCGGCTGAATTCACATTTTTACATTCCGCAATTTTTTCATAATTTCTACACACTCGTAACGGCGTATCAGTTTTTATTCGTGTCCATTCAAATGTATACCCAATATTTTTTAACGAAAACTTTTCGAGCAGCAAAGTGCGCAAACTGGAAATCCTATTTCTATAGATTTTCGTTTAACATTCGACAGGAGTGCGTCGTATCCTGCGTCTTGCAAAAAGTGTCGTTCGAGAAACCGGCTCTCCCAATTACATCTCGAAAATTGGCACGGTGACCTACTAAAGAGGATATATGCTATGACGTCAGTCGGTTTTCCTACGTAGGGATAATTCAGAACGGTGGGGTACGCTCTGCGCGCGGGATCGATATTTGGTCCATGGGGCTCGTCGGCATTAAAGAGGAGAAGACGCCTTCCGAAACTTACACATCCGTCGCGCTGCGTTGTTCTCAAACCTGTCGCGAAATTTAACGAGACCTAACGCGCTCGGGTCTCGGTTGCGCGCGCGAAAAGTGCATTCCTGGCTCCTAATTCTATTAGATCCCTCGGCGCGAGATTGATCGTTGAGGGGAAAAAAAAGCGAGTAGCCGAGCGCGTGCTCGGCCATCCGGAATGAAGGTCGACGGAGATGAAGGAGGCGCGAGACGGACGTCGATTAAAACTTTTGTAAGCCACCGTCGATCGGATCATTGGCCCCGGCAAACAAGAGTGACAGAGTTTCGCCGACAGCTTTTTGTCGCCGACTCGCATTTTTCTCGCGACTCTAACCGCGCTGAGCCGTTAGTGGAATTAACCGTCGAAGCGGCTTACCCTCGTTCTCCCTTTCTTCTCTCCCTCCTTTTGGACGCGAACTTTCGCGAGATCAATCGGGACACATCCGGTGGGGTCTATCAGCGCGATACGCGAGAGAGTGAAATCGACACGAAGAGAACGTGTACCGATAGCGATTTGTTTTTTTTTATTTGACGTTTCCGAGAGAGAGAGAGAGAGATTGTTTAAATAAAAATCTGTTTTGTTCTGGAATATCTGTTTGAGGTCCACTAAGAATCAATATAATAAAGCGCAAAAAGCATCAATTGAATAATCAGCTGAAGTAAGTTAAAGCAGTGGGTGTAACGCTATGATATAATAAAAGTGTAAAATAGGAGGCAACAACTACCGACGAATCATCGATCTCTTCGATTGAGAGTCGATCGCGTAGTTGCAGGGTGCGACGATATCGATGAAGAAAAACGCGACGCGACGCAAGCACCGAGGGCGGCCAAATCGATATTCAGTGGCGGTATCACGTAATTAGCATTAACGCATCCCGGATCGACGCTTCGAGCGACGGCGCGCTCGCGGACGCGCGCGCGCGCGCGCGCGCTTCCGTAGGATGCAATTATTCGACGCGTAGAAGTGAGCGCATGAATTATTCGGCGAATAAGCTCGGGGCTCGTTAACTCCGCGAAACGGAACGGAGACCATCGACAATCACGATGTCAAAGCCCAGGGCAGGTGCCGGCGGTGCGACGCGCACGACTTCCGGCGCGTCGCTCGTACTCGCGCGGCACCGCGCTTATGCACTTGTTGCACAATCTGCCTAACGATCTCTCGAGCTCGCGAGCACGGATTAATAATCACGACCCGTAGACGTAGACCCGAGTCCTTACGAGAGACGCGCGCGCACGGTCCGGCGCGGAATCCTATTTAAAAATAATTGCGTTACCCACTCGCTCGCCCGGTGGTTTCCTGTGCTTGATTACGGCTAATTGTTCGGGATTTACAAGTATAATGGCGCGTTTAATGCGGCGACTTACGTGACGGCCCTGAGACCGACTGTGTGTCGCCTCGCAGACAACTGCGATTCTCTTCGCGCCCGGCGGGAGAGTGCGAGCGAAAAAAAATTATCCCCCTTCCTTCCCGTGGCGACGCGTCCACGGGTTTCCCTCCACGGGACTGTGACGAAACGATCGTCCGACGAGCGCGACTGACTTTAGAATTGCAAAGCAGTGTAATTATGCGAGAGAAGGAATTGACTCGGCTGCAGCTGTGTGAAAAGAGCTCATCGGAAATAAAATTATGAATCGGCGAAAAGGAGAACGAGGCATTTTTAAGTACTTCCGGTACGTTCAGGCTGAGTTTTAGTGTCGCGGCAGTTTCGGCGATCGTGACAAACAATTATCAATTGTAATCTCGTACCGATCGCTTGTTCTTCGCACGTACGGTATTTCAATCGCAAATTTTCTCAAATTTCTTCCCCGCGTTTCTCTAAAGTCTCGTCCGTGTGGCTTCGGCCTCTGTCGTTTCGTGCGCTTTATTTAATAACGATAACACACGGGTAGAGACAAACGACGCTTTGACCGCCCGATGCGGATTCAAAGGATCCAAATCCCCGAAACGCATTGACCTTTCGGGACTTTGATTTAAAACCCAGAATTAGTCGGGAGCATCCCCCGTTTCCAAAGCTCTCGTCCCCCCCCTCTCTCTCTCTCTCTCTCTCTCTCTCGAATCGTCACAACGCGCAACGTCTTTATGAAGGCACGTTTGGACATTTTCGCAATCCGTTTGAGCTATCAGCGAAATGACTACTCGCCACCGTATCGGTGGAAGTGAATAAGCACTAGGTATGCAGAGAGAGAGAGAGAGAGAGAGAGAGAGAGAGAGAGAGAGAGAGAGAGAGAGAGAGAGAGAATGGGAAAGAAAGATAGAATGATAGAGCAAAAAGAACATAGAGAATCGGCGGCCACCACCAATCTGTCGTTGGTTGCATTAGCCCGGGGGGTTAGCTTTTCAAAAGCTCACGTTTGATGAAGCACTCACTTTCCTCTCATCTCCCTCTCTCTCTCTCTATCTCTCTCTCTCTCCCCCTCACGCGACGGTGCGCCCGGATACTTTTAAAGTAAATTAGCTTTTTAGTTTTCTGTGCCTAAAACCTGGGGAATATACAGTATGCACGTATAAAAGGAAATAAGGGTTTGTACGGACCAACGTGCCTGCCGGAGGGTTCAACTGCCTCAATGTCTGAATGGGCTCTGCCTCTTTCTCGCTTTCTTTCTCTTTCTCTCTTCTTCTCTCGTTCCCGTTCAGCCTCGTATTCACCCGCACCTTCGACCTATTCGCGTGTGTACGCGCGTGTCCAAGTCAGACAAACCGCGCGTATTCCTCCGCCGTATGTACGTCTGAATGCCCAAAAACACAAAGTGCGCCACTGCATCGGCAGAGAGGAGAGAGTGGTCTCCGCCCGCGCGTTAATTCATGTGAAAGACCAACCGTGCGGCCGCGCCCCGAAGCGACGATCGCTTTTGCCAACTGGCGTTGACTTTTTGCCGGGAAAAAGGACGGGGCCGCTTCTTTCTCGGCGCGAGATAACCGCCCCGGGAGGAACTCTGTTGTAAAACGCGTGTGCAGACATTAGAAATGCTTTCGGAAAGAGAAACAAGTGTTTTGAGAAAGACGGTATAAAGTGTGGTATAAATTTTTGCAAAAAAAATACAAGGAAAAAAACGATTGCTGCAGATGATAAAATTATAGTGATAAAAGGGGAAAAATTTTTTCTGTTCTGCGTTAAACGGTAGACAAATTTGCCGCAAGTTTATTGGCGGTTCATGATTGAATTACCAAACGAAATTCTTTCGGGGCACAGAAGTATAGGCAAAGTTGCCGCAGCTATTGAATTTATCTCTCAAACTGATTTCATTGTATTACAGGGGGAGGGTTATGTAAATTGATGAAATGGAGATCAAGCCGGATGAAATTGAGTTACACCCGGCCAGGGAATGCGCAATTTATTGCAAAAAATATTCGTTTTTAATATGGCGCAACGAAAACTGTAGCGCGAGAAATGTACACGCCGCGATATTTATATATCAAATATGTGTTTTTTACATTTAATTGCCTGGCGCGAATTGATCGCGGAGTCGAAAGAACAATTCGTTTGCGAAAAATGCCAAGCGTGGTTTAGTAATCATTTTTTTCTTTTTTACATTTTTTTATTATCGCAAACATTAGCAAATATGACAGTTTTATCCTTGAGGATAGGCACAAAAATTATCCCTGACCTCGCTGTGACGCTAAAACTCTCCCACTCGGTTTTATAGTAAAGAAAATTATATATATTGAACAATTTTAATCTGTACATTTAATCAAACAAATTAAATCTACAGATAGATACCGACCTTTTAAACACATATGACTTTATCATCAATAATCTGAATGACATTTGAACATTTGCGCCTCGACAGTTGCGTTACCACCTTAAAACCACTTTTGGCAACCCTTATTTATTATTACGACCCCACACTATTATTTAAGCACAACTCTTAGCATACGTAAATACATAGATCCACTGTTTTTGACATCAGTCAGCTGTTTACTGCTCGACGTGATTGTCCTCTCTTAGATTCGGGTGCGTGTCCGAAAAACATTTAATTTCAACTTGCATTTTATAACGACACACACTCCGTTCTCTTAGCTTTTCAAATCTGTATTTCTCACTCTCTCTTTATGACTTTCACCATTTGGGGACCCATGGGAATATACCAGATGACAATTTGAGAGGAAGAAGGCCAATGTATTTTCGTATTTTAGCGTCTAACATAATTTGTCTATCGAGGTATTAATTTAATTTTCTGCGTGTTAATCAATCCGGGTATTATTAAAGTTTTTATAATAAATTTTATATTGGTTATGTCTATGTAACATCTTATACAATTCTCTGTTCTTAGTCTCACTGGGGATGATCCGAAAATGGATCGAAACGTTTGATTAATGTATAATTTCAAGAATAAATAAATTTCCACGTTGGATATTTTCGCACGATCCCCGGCGTTTGGCTCGCATTGGCCTTCTTCCCCCTACAAATTTTAATCTGTATGTAAACGTAATTGTACGATTCATAATGATATGAATATGTTCTTTTTCTAAGAGCATATAATTCTCTAAGACCCGTAAGAAGGTAATTCAATGTTAAATCACTATCGATCCCGGAAACAGTAAATAAATATATATGTATATATATATTTGTTTTTTTCCAAGACATTAAGTGCATCTCCTTTCTGTAGGAAAAATAAACTGACAATGTGAGAATTGCCGACATTATCTCTAATATTCAAACGTGTACGCGTTTTATTGTTGAAGGATTAATAAGATTATATCGGCGTGAATATTTCGCAAACGCGATCCCTAACAATATCGTTTTATCGCGAACACCGTCACAAAAGCAGAAGCATAAATTCCGCAGACAAATTATGCTTCGAGATCCACTTGGCATTTTATAGATTTGCCGTTCCGAGATCGCGGAAGATTTCGCACGAGAGTAATTGGATTACGCTATCAAACTCCAGCCTCATTACGACGGCAGTTAGTTCTCTTTTCGATCTAGGAAGCAGAGAAGAGAGAGAGAGAGAGAGGGGGGGGAGAGACAGAGAGTATAATCCAGATTTGCACGCGGTCGCGTATACGATCCGTCGGGCGATAAATAATCGGGCGAAATGGATGAAAAAAAGAGAGGAAAGGAAAGCGAGAAAAAGGACGAAGGTTTAAAGGCAAATACTCGCAGACTCCCCGCGAGGCGACCCCAGCTGAACTTCTAGCAGGCATCGCGGGGGGTCTTCTAACGAGCCGTGCAATTAACATTTTTATTAGACGGTTCCTCTCTGCCTCCAAGCCGATCCTCTGTCCTGCTCCACATGTGTAACCACCGTCAGAGACTCGTCGATACCTCGTCGGCAACGCGGAACAGCTTCCTCCCGTCTGCGAAATGAAATTTCGATCCTATTAGTGTCCATTCAAGAATCGTGAGAGAAAAAGCGAGGTTGCCCTTTGGCCCAACTGTCTTCCTGGAAATGAAGAAAGAATTACATCTTTCGGTACACGGGGGTACGTCCAACTTGTCCGCGCTTCCATTTATCTCTCATTAATACAAAATCCTTCCTCGGCAATGTTACAACGCGAGTGATCTTCTTCCATCGAAGCCTTAATACACACCTGTTTTACTTGAAATGTAAAAAGCGCAACAAGGTGCAATCGAAACGGGCGATACTAATAACGAGACGTTCGCCGGATCGTATGTCGCTCGTGCTCGATCCTCTCGCAGAAAACTCCGCCGAGAGATAATCATCGCTGCGTACACAATTCTACCCTCGTCTCGGAATTATTTCTTAAGCATCATATTTGCACCTAGAGAGAGAAGAGAGCGAGAAAGAGAGAAAGGGAGCACCGTGCAATTTCCCGACGTGAGCGTCTCACGCAAAGAAAATAAACACGAGAGCTATTGCCGCGCGTAAGGACGGCATCGTCCATGCGAGCCCGTTAAAGTATCGTTGCGGCACAACACGGCGATCGTTGCGCATTTCAGGGCCGCCGCCGCATCGTGCCGTCGATGCACCGCAGTCGGCGTATCATCGGTGCGCGTTGTTGCATTGTTCGGCATTTCTCGATGTGCGGCATCGGTGTGCACTACGTGCCGTACGGTGATTTGGCTAACCACACGTTTGTTGAACCATCGGCGGCATCCGGCATTGTTTGCTCGCTTTGATGAGGCCAATTCGTGTTTCGCTTTTGCGTCTGCGTTCCGTGTGGGATGCGCGAGAGAGCGCGCGCGGGCGGGCGTGCGTGCGCTCGCGTACGCACGTGCACGACCGACGTGTGCGTACGCCAGCTCATGCGTGCGTGCGTGTGCTCGCCGCGCTGTCTGCGTATACGCGGCGAGAGGCTGCGTATGTCATTAGTGACCCCGGGGGTGACCCCGGGATTCGCTCTCACCGTACCGGGCTATCAACACCGACCACCGCGCACCACCGACAGAGAGGCTCCATTATGCGCTCCTAACGATACCTGCCCGGCGCGCGAAACATTGTCGCACGCCGTCGCGTTGTTCACCACTTTGCAGGATATCGCGATGATTCTATTTGCTTCCGCGATCAGCGTGGACCGATCTTAATAAAAGCTCCGAACAACTTCAGCGTCCGTCGTTTTGAAGCCTGCGCGCGATTGCGTATGCGTTCGAATAAAAAGTATTTTAGATATAATTTGTAATCAATAATGTTGTAATACGCTGAGAGAAAGTTATTGAAATGACTAAAGACGTTTAGCTGACATTTCTTTAGTTCAAATATATTTAAACCTACAGTCATTTTACGAAACATATATTTTTTCGCATTGACGAATATTTTTGTGACTTGAAATATTTGCTTGACAGCCCGTGATCGCCGCATATACGAGTAGTTCGATCAAGAACGAGAGGGCTAGGCCGAGAAGTAAAACGACCATGGCTGCATTCAGCAGAAAAATTTGTAAATTTGATTGGAGTATGCTCGTAGATTCTGCTATAATTAAGAGCACACGCCAATCAGATTTAAAATCTTTACAATAGTTGCGAAGCAACTTTTTCTGGTGAATGCGGCCATTGAGACTTCTCAAAATAAGTAAGCTTAAGATTATATACATATAATAATCTCTAACAAACTTGAAGACTGTAATAGCGGCGGGCACGAAGGTTAACGCTCGAGGGGAAACGAATTAAAGCGATGCGACGAAAATGCAAACGGTTTTTACGACGGGTTCTGTAAACTCGCCAAACAAACGCATTTCCGTCCCGTCACGTACGATCTGCAGTTTAACGTTTACTGTCTAACAAGTGAAGAAATTTGAAAATGAAGACAAAACGATTACACGGGGATTTCGTAAGGATTTCATAATGATCTCGGTGACACTGTCCCACGGGTACATCGAGTGGTTACCCCCTTGTGCGACCCGCGAGAAGCACAGGGCAGCCGTGAATCGCGAGCAAACTAATAAGCGCGAGTCCGGCGCGTCCCGCAAACGAGCACGTACGAAGACTCGAGTGCGCGCGATCGATCAGGCATGGGACGTCTGGTCTGACGATGAAGAAGAGAGCGGGTGGATATACAGCACGGGGGCACGGCCGAGCGCCGCCCGCCCGCCCCGCTTGTCGTACAACGATACCGCTCGTCGTGTCCCGACCACGATACGTTCTCCGACTCCGCCGAACTGGTAAGTAACTGGCGCGGTGCTATTAAATGCAGACACGAGCGAGCGCGGCCCGGAAATTGCCTAATTTCCTGAGTGCGCGCGCCGATCCGTCAACCTGACGTGACGGGGAGACGGGTGGCTGCACGGAATACCGTGACTTTTAATGTCAAGTGACTGTCGAAAGAAAAACCCGGTTTATATCTCGTGCCCTCGCGCGCGCGTCTCGGCCTGTGCACGAGGCCTGGACCGGCCGACGGATATACACGTCGCTCTCTCGCTTCGAGTGGATTTCCGTTGAAGTCGAGCGCCCGTCGCCGCCACGACACGAGAGACTCCGGGCATCTAACTATACCCCCCCCCCCCCGCGCGCTTCGCGGGACGCGATCCAAATTGCCCCGACTCCGGGGGCTCTGTTCGCGTCTACATCGGAAACGGATATGCGCTTCTCGTTAGATTAATCGCGATCTCACGAATGTTCTTGACTTGACTTCTGATGGCAGCACGCACGGACGATGCACGGCGGTCGTCGTGTCCGCGTGAGTGCACGGCACTTTAGCTTGATGAATCGGACGAGCAGCAGTTTAGTAGTTGATTAGTGGCGGTTGGTTGTAGCGACGGTTGATTAGTTCGTGACGATTATTCGCTAGGCTCGCGCGCAATGTACTGTGACGGACAGAGTAGCCGCGACACTTTTTTCTTTTTAATGAGTTTAGCATTCAGGTTTCCGTTCCAAAACAGTTTTCCCGGAGAAAATTTTACTCGAGGAACAGATTGGAATGGTTCCGGAGTGGCCATCGAGTAAAGTACTCATTGGAGAAGATTTTGGAACGTAATCTAAACGCACGTTCCTAAACTCACTGAAAAAAAGAGTGTCGCAACCGTTCTGTCCATTACTGTACATTTATTTGGATTATCGTTCACTGCATTGCAAATGTTATTTATATTGTTCCATGAAAGTGATTTAAAAAGCCAATATAAGACTGCTTAATCAGCCATGTTAAATTTTAATCGACTGTACACATTTGAGATGTCTCGTTAACGACGTCGTACACGTGCAATTGCAGAATATAAAACGAGAGTAGTTAACGATAATTGTTAGCTTCTTCATTTAATAAGCTCGTTTCGCGGATACTAGTACTCGTCAGCTGAAGCAGTTTTTCAACGAGCATTGAAATACAAACCGCGTCAGTGTCTATTGATCCGCATAAATCATTCCGTTACGTATACGGTTACGTTATTGTTGTTACGTCCCGCTGAAGTCGGCCAAATGTTCGGATATTCCGCAATAACGTATTTCCCGAATGCAAACTAACGACCGTTAATTGAAACGTTCACTTACCGCAAAATCTGATACGTAATCGACGAAATGTAATACAAGGAGTAATTAGTACCTGCAGAATGACAGATATTTCGACTATCGGATCGTGGAATACTCTGGGCTGCGGATAGCGATATTTGTCGACCGCGTCGAGAATTCCTACGCTGGAATGTACCGAATGGTTGCAATAAGCCTTCAGAGTGAGCGGCTATCGGGGAGAAAGATTGGGCGTCCGACGTGGGCGTCGTCGCTGATGGAGAGACTAATCCGCGGGAGCTTAGCGCTGCCCGGAGGGAGGAGGGTGACAGTAGATAAGAGAAAATCCACAATTAAGAGATCCGTCAATCGCTCGTGACACGTGCTCCGGCCGCTTACCGATCCCCGTTGCGCGACGTATACGGGATGTCTCAGGATTTTCTCCTAATGAGGATACGCGGGGTATCCCAGAATTAAGACTGCCGGCTCTTTCCGCGTACACGAGCATCGACACCTTCCTCGGGGATCGATTCGTCGATAGCTGAGAGAGCTCAATTCGCGTTTGTAATTCAACGAGGCTTCGGTGAAAAGTTTTAGTACGAGATTCAGATTCGTATCCAACATCGCGAGAATCGACCTCTGTCTCGAGTTTATCTCGAACTGCGACCATTCTATGCGTATTACACAACGTATCCCGTCGGAATCGACGGGAGCGGTTCCCGCGCTGGTGCGCGCGGCTGGTCTCGGCGGCGATCTCCCTGCGCTAGCCGCGCGATGTCGTATCTGTACCACCAGATGCCACACGCGCCGCCGGCGGGGTCGTGGAGCGAGCGAGACAAGGGGAGGGGGGTCTCCCGCGAACCGTCTCCTCGGCGCCCCACCACGAGGGAATGGGCGTGTATCGGCGCCCCCACCAGCCGGGTCACCTCTCCTACGACCCCTCCGTCGCTTTTCCCACCAGACGGACCGGGCGACTCTGCGACCGAGAGATCCCGCACGGGGGAGCGGGGCAACGGGAGGGCCGGCGAGGGGACGGTGGGGGAGACCCGTTCCCGTGTCGCCTCGAGAGAGAGTCCCCTACTTTGCCGTCCGTGTCGTCCGCGCGCACTGTCCTCCGTGGCCGCCGCGATCCACGCCTTCCACCACTTCCCATTGGCCCGATCTGTCCCCAGAGTTCTGGTGACACACGCCCCGTCGTTCTCCAGGAATCAGCCGCGGCGCGCAGGAGATCGTTGCTGCTGCAACGCGAGAACGGCGGAGAGCGGTCCGCGCCGATGGTGTCCTTAGGTGCGTCCGTCCGAGGATTGATCGGCTCGCCTCGAGTTGGGCGTGTACGCGCTATCGCGTCGCTGATGCGAGCGAACGCGACGGAAATATAGATCCGTGGCCCCGGCGAGCGCGTCTCGCGTCTCTCGATTCCGTATAGATATATCGCGTAACCGCGTTAGTTTGCGCCGGAACATCG